TACTCCAAATTGCCTTCTTAACAATTATAGGAAAAGAAAAGATTAAGCAAATTTTGCCAAACGTAAACCATTCCTTTCTCAGGTCTCAAGTACTCCTGATTCGGACCTAACATCTTATACTCTCGATGCACTTGAAGTGACTGATGGACGGACGAAGAACACAAGAAAGTAAGCGAAGTTTGTTTCATTCTGTGTGTTATTGGTCTTGCATAGCTACGATGAAGACCCAAAAATTCCTTTATTTTATCATTTCAGCTATATTCTCGTTTGTCCCTCATTTCTTCATGCAATGAATCTAAAAATTTCTCCGAAAAGTCAAATGCGAAAAAATCCTAGGATATGAAAATACCAAGATTTTTCACAATAAATTTAAATATTTCTGTTTCCAATTTTTTTCAAACTTGTCTTAATAATTCAGATTAAAGTTTGTAAACCATGAATTTTTTAGAAAATCGGACATTTAGGTCAAAAACTCATAACATGGCAAGAAAAGTTTCTTTTATAAGTTTCCTTAAATCCAGATAAATTCAATTTTGTTTCTCGCTATACAAACGTTCCAGAATAGATGTAGGAAGTTAAATATCAGCGTTTTTTCAAGGTTTTCCAACTCTCGCTGTGTTTGCGACCAATGTGGCAAATCCTATGCAACGACTAGCAATCTAAGCCGACATAAGCAGGTATGCACTCTAACCCAAACATCGCTTACAAGGGAATGATTCCAAAAATTTTATCCTTTCAGACTCATCGCCCCCTGGATAGCGAACACGCTAAGCAATGCCCCCATTGCGACAGGGTTTACGTCAGTATGCCAGCATTGAGGTAAGCACTTTCGTCTCCTTCGCCTGTGAACTGCTCACCTTCGGATGCACCTGGAACGTCGTGTAATAGGATAACACGCTTGCGCAACCAGTGTGAATATCAGCTGCTGGGATTGCGGCCAATTAGGGTTGACGCATGCTTAGGAGATAAGATCTAAGTCTTTCAAAAGAGAAAGTTCTGTTTCAGTATGCACATTCTCACCCATAAAGCTAGCCATAAATGCGAAATTTGTGGGAAAGTGTTTTCCAGGCTGTGGTTGTTACAAGTAAGTTGAGAATTGGCAAATGGCTTGGTTTAACCTTAAATAAGTCTATTTTAGGGCCATCTACGCTCACACACTGGCCAACGTCCCTTCGGTTGTGCCCATTGTGGGAAAAGCTTTGCAGATAGGAGCAATTTAAGGATGCATATCCTAACGCACACAGGTTTGTCGCGTCTTCTTCTCCAGCTCTTATAATCACTTGTGGTTTCGACATGCGCTATGACAAACGGGGACATGCCAACTAATCCTCCGCCAAAGTCTTACAGAGAAGCAAGGGATTACGATCATCATGTTGTCAAAGCAATGCACAATCCAAGAAATTATTAGTGGTAGAGCGATTCCCTCCGACTAGGTTGATAAACATTCAAGCAACAGAGTTATGGGGGGAGACTTATGGATGAGAAAAACGTAAAGAGAATGAAATATCTCTATATATTTTCTTTAGGGGCTACCAAAATATAGATAACGTTAGCACTGCATATTTGTCATACTTTCCAAAAACGTGAATGTGTAGGACAGCTGCAAATGAGCAAAGTGGGTCGGGAGCTCGGGAAAGCCTTTTCTCTGAAAGGCATTGATAAAGAAAAAACGAGTTACAAAGTATTCATTTCCTCCACAGGAACTAGCTACGGCAGAGACTCTTCGTGAAAAGCAATCAAAATTACCTAAATCAGCTACAATATTACGTAGTTCCTTTGTGCAAATCTACGTAAGAAGGATTTATTTTAATTCTAGCACCTTTAGCACGAAAACACTGCAAGGTACGAGAATAGGATTGGTA